CGTTTGGGTTATTTTTTGCGCTTCTTATTTCATGTTTTAATATTGCGTTTTTATTATTGCTGTGGTTTAATTACCCAAGTTTGAATGGGTTTCACTCGCAATAAAGTACAATTCAACGCGTGTCTTTACATCGTTCTTCTGCTACAACCAACCACATTGGAGTAGGACTCAACTCTTATTTCATAATTAAAGGACCAACATTTCAACAAAGACAGAGTTGCAATCCCTTTACTGAATACTTCATAAGAACCTATTGGAATAAAGCTAACAAAAAAGTCTCACGACAAATGTAATTTTTAATAAAATTTCTTCATCCTGTTTTCCTGAATATGTAAATTCTCTTCCTGTACCTTCTCTCCTTACTTTTGCTTTCATCTTTTATTGCATTTCAAATTTGTATTACAAAATGCATTTAAAATGAGCATTTTGTAAAATGAAAATGATATTTGATTTCCATGATTCTTTGGATGGGCATAAAATCAGTATACAGTACTCTTCGATTCATCTCCTCTCCTCAATTTCCATTTCTATCATTTCTTCGTTTCACTTTCACCCTCTTCTTTCTTCTAAAAATTTCCACTTATCTTCTTCAGTCATTCAATTTAAAAAGCATACAAAATTCAAAACATCCAATTCAATCTTTTAAACATTCAGAACAAAGAAAATTGGTTAGGCTTAAAATTTTAACTGATAAAATCTGTTACTTTTCGGAAGAGCCTGATCAAAATGCTATCACAACTAGAATCTTCTGAAGCTACCTATAATTTCAACTGCTTTCTCCTCCCATGTTTTCTCAATTTCTGTGTACCAAGCACCTATCAAACAAATCAGTTTGGTAGAGGTGAAGTGCATACACCCGTACACACACATACACATACACCACACATACAAACATACACACAAATGTTGCACACCTACCGAATCATTCTCCTTCTTATCTTCCTTTTTGTCCGTTTCTCCCTCCTTTTTATCCTCCTCTGCATTCTTTTCTTTCTTCTCTTCCGCCTCGTCCTTCTCTTCCTCCTTCTTTTCGTCTTCCTTTTTCTCGCCCCCCTTCTTCTCCCCTTCCTCCTCAACATGCACTTCTTGTGTTGGCATCACTTTCATCTCATTTATAATCTTTTGGTCACTTTGTTGAGTCTAAAACAAAATTCCCTCTATAATTTTGCAATGATAATTTCAATTATATAATGTTGATTCATGGGGATTGTATCGCGATGATATCCAGTATGATTTGATGATTCTACGCATTTATCTGCATCATCGCTATTATAAGTTAAAATTCATTTTCTTACAATGAAACTGTAATTCATCTCAAATCCTCATCAAAGAAAAAAATTACAATTAATTCTTTGATAAATTTCAAAATCAAATACAATATTGGTACCAACCATTGCTGTATTTTTTGCCTCTTTTTTAGATCCCTCCTTCTTTGAGCCTTCTTTTTTTGAACTCTCTTTCTTCGATTCCTTCTTGTCCTGAGTCTGAAATTACTAACTTTCATCAGCGATGAAGTACTTGAATACTCGAATTTCATATACACAAATGATTTCAAGTATGACTGAGAATTTGTGACTCTCTGCAAAGAGTAAAACTCAGTAGTACAAAGGGTTTTTTAGCATTGGAAAAGATTGAATAAGTAGAGGTAATTTTGCATACATTTGATTGTAAATGAATCAACGAAATCCCTTCCGATAACATAACCGTCAAAAAAAAAAATACCGCGCCGAACGTTGCCAAATGTGTTTTTTGTCAACAATTTGAATTCTTGACAAAAAAATTGAAAGTTTTCACCTTAAATTAAAATAATTTACCTCTTTTTCAGTTTCTTTTTTCTCCTCTTCCTCTTTCTTCTTTTCACCTTCACCTTCATCAACCACAGATTGCGTCTTCTGTTCATCCATTGGTGGTAAAATTGTTGGTACTGCTACTGGTTGACCACCAGTAACTGCTGCATTGCTGGCTCTAAATTTAATAAAAAGTTTTGAGGATGAAAAGTTCTAAGGGTAACGTTGTAAATTGAATTACTGCAATAGTATTTAATTTCTGATAATAAATAATTCCTTATCATTTCATTTACAAACGTATTACGGAAGCATTGCAAATTATACATTGAGAAATTCAATTGCTTCTGTATTATTAATTGTAATTATTTGCTATAATTACCAAATTTGTATTCCTAATTTAACATTATTTAGCAAATATGAGGAAAAGAAAACTTTTTCTTGCCACATTGTATGATAGCGATCAGAACGAAAATTGTTATGCTAGCCAAACTGAAGGTTTGATGAGCGAGCATTGTAATGAGCATTGTTTCATCGATCATATTTCTGATATATTTTTTTCCCTTTTAAATTTATTTGCTATATCAATAAATGATCTTAGGAGATAGATATACCGAAAGTTACGTCCGAGTTACGTTTAAATGATGCGTTAAATTCGTGAATAGTTGAAAACTAACAAGAATATTTGAATGGGAAAAATCTGTTTGTTGAATAATATTCTAGCTTTTGATTAGTAATCAGAGATTTTTCCTCAAAATAACAGTAACAACGTTTAAACTTCCAGCCGCCTTATGTACGTAATGAAAACTTAGAATAAAGTTTTATTCATTCTATTACATCTTTTACAACTTTCAGTATATTTGCATAAATTATCTCTGCAATTAACAGAATTTGTGCTACATCCATTTGATATTGTTGTTGTAGTAAGTTACATATTTTGTTTGCATATTTGCATCATAAATTGGTTAAAGCAACAGATTGCATAGTGTATTTTGAATTATTTGATTTTCATTATCGTCAATTTATCAATACATATTTCAGTACGAGAATTATGCCATTATTTTGCATTAAACTTTAATTTTCCGATAATTATTTGACAGAGTGATATGCTTCTATCATTCAGGAATTATTTCCAGCTATATGAGGCTTCCTCACTATTCAATCGTAATAACATACAGAAATAATGCCAAATAAGTAAGTGTTATTGATCATTGATTTCTTAAATTTCGATCCTGCAATTCTTTTTAATTCTAAACATCCTAATCAACTCTTACAGTATTTATTCAGTTAGTTTGCCTCAAATTAAAAAAAATTGAACATAATTATTTGTTGAATTTAAACGTTATTTAATCATTGTTACTTTGTAATTAATTTAATCAAAGAGAATCTTGGATTATGTGATCTTATCAGTATAAATATATTATTTATCACTCGCATATTCTTAGATAAGAGATATTACGCAGAATAACATACATTTATATGAAATAGGCAAATTCATTTAATTAATAAATTACAGTAAATGAGTATAATTGTTGGTAGTTTTCAAGTTTTCTCGAATATCGCATATTTCAATATGTAATGTTTGATCCTTTCTTTCGGTATTTCGTTACTCTATTTAAAAAATTTTTTAATTGCAAATTTATCTTCTTCTAGTAACATGGATTTTTTCTTTTAACAATTAATGCTGGTTTTACACAATGATATTTACTATTTGAAATTTTAACTTACAAATTAAACAACTAATAAATTCTTTATACTCCAAATGTTTCCATACAATTTCGGTTCCGAATTATTTCAGTAAAAATTCAAAATTATGACTTTATTTTTAAACAGAGATCTCGAATGTGTTTCTTCCTCTGCCTAACTAACTGATAAGTGTAAGCAATTGCATAATAAATGCCACAAATGTCACTTCACCACAATGAAATGACATTTCAAAGGTGAAATGAATTTATACGGAATTAGCAAATTTAAATTTTTTCAAAAAGATTTGCAATTCTGATAATAGTATAAACATTGATATATACGACAAGTCAAAAATTTAAATCATTATAAATGTCAAAATTTTACTTGCCTTCGTTTCAGACGAAAGCATTGTATTTTGACGTGTGGTGGATTATCAAAAAGCTGTGATGACGGAAGCAGCAGAGGTTTTTTTCTAAGGATCATTAAATTAAAACAGTATTTATATTAATTGAAGGGTCTCGATGTGAACTAGTCAAATAGGATTGAACAAATTTGGTAATAGTTTAGAAATTAATTGGTGATAATGAAATAATTCAGGATAAGAATGTCTTCTAATCACTTCATTTTGGAAAGAATATCTTTTTAAAAAAAGGAATAATAAAAAATTCTCCTAATAACAATATGCTTACGCCTTTTCTGGCATTTAATCTAAAATTTTTATTCGTCACTTCGCTTTCTAAAACGACTACAAACTCGTTTTAAAAAAGAAATGATGAATAAAATAATTGCAAGCTTCTTTCAATGTGACCCAAGAATGCGAAGTTTTTTTTGGTTTGTTAAAAACAACAAATAATCATATCTTCTCTTAATATGGATGTAACTTATCATATAACATATTTAAAATAAGGAAGTTCGTGATTTGTTCGTTTATTACGACTACTTAAGATTACTTAAGAGTTTATTACGATTATACTTTCTGATAGTGTATTTCGCATTAATTATAATTTTACGCTTCCTTCCTTGTAGTATGCACATGAATTATTTCAAAGAGCATTTAAATTTGCAGTGAAGTTAAGGAATATATAGTGTTTAGTCGAAAAGCAAAACGATTACTATGACTTTGAATTACAATGAAGTATTTAAAGTAATTACTTGGAAATTTTATTTTTTTTTCTATAGATTGATAAATCTATTATCGCATACTGCAATGAAAAAAAATTATGGCTGCACGTTAATCACGATGAAGGTAAATTTGTTTTCAAATCTATTTTGTATTTATTATAATTTTTGCGCTTACTCATAATGTTTGCAGAATGCTTCAAGCCTTTATTAATTAACTAGTTAATTAATTAACGAGTAGTCCAAATCTATTTTGTATTTATTATTGATTAACGAGCAGGTAAAAATTATAAAATTTATATGATACTATTATTTGGCTTATATTTCTAATATTTCCAGATATTCTTCAAAATTATTTCGAAAATGGCGCTGGTCTGGATGAATTTGGTGATGTTGAATTTAATGATATTCAATTTCAACATGACTTTCGAATTCATAAAAAAAGCATACAGGTAAGAGGAAAATAGCATACATGCTATGCAATTTTCAAAAGTTATGCAAAAATTTGAATAATCTCAAACAATTTTGAAGGCTGTAACTGAAGTAGGCAGCTCGTTACAATCTTTCATACCAATGATTGTTTATCATCGGCATGTTTGGTGGAATTATGGTTATAAATTAACTCTCGAAGAAGGTATAAATCGTATAATTGATGGGCTATATATCTAGTAATCTTTGAAACAATCATAAATCATTTAAATTTTTCACTATTAGAATGGATTCTGAAGTGCAACCGTTTAAATTGAGGTCTTCTGAAGGCTTTTCAAATTGTAAAATAACTCAAAACATTAATATTAAGTAAAATTAATTAAGCTCAAAATGATTTTAATCGGAAACAAAATTACTGCAATATACTTTTTGAGTGCTTATTGATTGCTGTAATAAATAATAGGTGAATGTTTTTCGTTGCTATTGAAAAGCCTTGGACCTATAGCAAATCCGGAAAGAAAAGTACCACGAGGAGCAATTGGCAATAATTGTCCAAATAATCAAAAGCCACCGCCGGCATCTAATATTCATGTGACAATTAGTGTGAAAAAAAACGAAATTTTAGAAGCAATTACTGAAGGTAAGTCATTTTATTATAAATGATGAATATGAGGAAAAGAAATTCGAAAATACCAAAAAAAGGAATCTGTGCTTTAGGAGAACTGGTTAAAAGTCCATATAATACTGGCTATATTTGCCTTAATTTAATGAGTCAATCAATTTTGCAAGAATTGATTGAAAATCACGAATTTATTATTTTGCGTATTTCGATGAATATTAATAAGAATTACTTCAATATCGAAAAACTTATTGAATTTCCCGCTACGACATCAATACAGTACATTCTTTTTATTGTTGAAACTTATTTTTGTAAAATCATAGGATGTTAAAATTTGTTACAAAAAGTTTGTGAAATCAAAATATGTTGAAATTTGCTACAAATTTGCTTTACATTTAATCTGCTCAAATTCTATCAAAATAAAGTTTAAAAATGTTAGAATCTCTCTCAAATAATAGAAGGAAACTGATTAAGAGGAGAAAAAGTATAGAGAGAAAGGCAAATGATGGAGGAATATTTTGTGCTTAAATTTCAATTTTTAATTAAGTGAACTTTTTAGGGCATTGATGAATCCTGAAAATTATGAATTGCTAGAAACAGTGCTAGCATGTAAGCGAAGTTGCGATTCAGATTTCATTTTTACAAGAGGTAAATTAAGCATTATTAATTTCTAGTCGAAGAAATATAAGTTATTACCTATATCAAATATCATCAGAAATCAGATGTTAATGTTAAAATATTTTCAAAACTATCAAATAACTGATGCTTCAAATTGCAATATTAATAACTGGTACAAAACATATAATTAATTAATTATCAATTAACTATAATACTTTATTTATAACTCATTTGATATTCTTAATTTTTACTAGAGTGTTTATAACTCATTTGATACTCTTAATTTTTACTATAATGGAAATATTAGCTAATTTGAATTCATTTATTAATAAACATTAATAATGCATTGTAGGAAGTGGTGCAAATAATGATGCAACATCTTATCATGTCCATCAAAACATTCTCAAGCAACGATCATTTGTACTAGACGGTATTCTAAGACAGAAATGTTCACTTCTGACCGATCAAATACTTATAATTGACGCTGAAGATCGTATCATTTTTCCACATCTAACGGATGATGATATGAAATTTGTTAGTTCGATTTCTATTATTTATAAATTTTAAAATATTGAATTTCATTAATTCTCCTTAGAAACAACAAATCATTTCAGCTGCTCACTTACTTATACACCGGTGAAATAATGTTACCGAAATTTGATGGCTTCGCTCGAGTAGGTCGTATTCTAACGCTATTGATTGATCGTGAACAATTAATCAGTATTTTTATGGAATGGCAAAAATTAATTGTTAAAAATCTTCTCCAAGTCGAAAAAGTTCTGTGTTTTTTCCTTTCCTTTCTCTTTAATCATTCTGTCCTTTTAAATTCAAAAAAAAACCAAAGAATACAAATTTACTTGTTAAAGTTATCGTAATTCATCTACATTTACACTATTCTTCATCCAGATACTTTAAAATAATTGTGCTATTTCGTATTAAATAAACAAATAAATTTAACAATATTATTGCTTAAAAATTTCTAAGGAATGTTAATATTTATTATACTACGGATAGCTAATAAAATCAAAACATTTTTATTACTATTTTATCGATTACTTTTTTAATCTTTTATTCGTTTATTTATTGTTTTTGATTTCAGTAAATTACTTTAGCATAGTGAATACTAATTTTCACTTATTTAAATTTGTTTCATTTGAATAAAAGTATATTGCAGAAGAATGACAATGATGTAATTGTTGAAGAAAGTTTTAAAGCGTTAATATCGGTGTTTAGTGCACCGTATGGAGCATTACCGTACGCTAAACGAATGGCAATTTCTTTACTCGCTGATCAGGTTCATCATTTCAATCAGAAATTCCTATAACTTCTTTACTTTTTTTCCAATTAATTGAAAATTATGCAATTAAAAATTATGCCATTTCTAATTAAAAATTATGCATGAAATTAGCGATTATTCGCAGATAACAAAAAGTAATGAAGAATTGGTCGAAAAATATATTGAGCAATCACGTTATGGCCAATATGAGATTGGACATTTCATTGAAATTGCATTGAAGCTGAAACATTTCATTACTTCTGTTAAAAAAACACCATATCCTAATTAAATTTTTATAATTAATAATTATTTTCAAAATTATGTAAGCTTATTTATTTCAATAAATATTTTAATCTGAACATAATTGCTATTCATTTGGTAAATTGTGCAAAAAAGAAAGGGGCTAGAGGTCATGATCCTGAAAAGATACATATTTTTTGAATTATTAAAATATTTCATGATATATTATTTGAAATGCAACTTGCTGAAAAATTGAAAAGTCAGTTCATTTGATTTTTTCTCTATTTTCATTGGAAAGGATTGAAATTAAAATTTTTAATGCGATTATTGGATAATTATACGGAAAAAATCATTTATCTCATGTATCCAAAATTTTAAAATTTCGGAGAAATTAAACAGACTATCTTTATAAATTAAAGGATAACGTTAGCTGAAAATTGAAATTTCTGACAAAAAAAAAAACAGATTTTGGAAAGATGGCTATAGAAATGAAATAGTTAAATATGCTTTTATGCATTTAATCAGAGAGAATATTCGAGTAACCCTTTTACGTTTGCGGAGAATTGCATAAATGAGAACAACTTTTAATTTGCAATTTGCATGTTATGTGAAATTAATACTAAATAAATGAAATGGAAAATGGGTTAGCAATTAGTTTATTATTTTTATTAGCTCGACGAAGTGGCATATTATTCCAGCAGCCAAAATGAAATCTTGTAGTGAGGGAAATGAATCGAGACTTGTACAGTTTCCAAATGGCAAAGTAAATGCTTGCTTTAGTTATTTCATTCATTTGCAAGTCAATTGCATTCGGAAGCGATAGGGTGAAATGTAAATACGGAGTATGAATTTTGCAGATAGTTGGAGCACGATGGTTGATAAGAAGAATTTTAGGAACTGGCGCTTACGGAGCAGTTTATGAGGTACAGAGCGTAACAAATCCTTTAATCAGTGGAGCGCTTAAAGTAATTGAAATTGATTTTCAATCGAATTTTCGTTTGAAGTTAAATTTCAGTTTCAATAAATCATTTATATCATTAACTAATAATTAATGCTTTTGCATACCAGATAAGAAACTTTGAATCAACTGAAAATAAAGTTTTACAAAAAAGTACAAAAGTGTCTTTGTTGATTTATTTCTGAATTTCAATACTTTTCATGCAGGCTGAATCAAATTCTGCAGCAGATAGTATTTTAAAATTGGAGGTTGAAGTATTAAAGCAACTACAAAGTCGTAAATATACCGTGCGTCTGTTGTATTCTGGTAAAAGAGAAACATATAGGTCAGGAGGCTAGTTCGGAATTCTTTACATTACATGTTTTCGCTATTTGTTTAACAGTGAAACACAGACACTGTAACTTGTAAAAAAGGATAAATGTCAAAGAGTTCTTTGTAATTCAATTCAAATATCGAATAAAATAACACAGTGGAAGAATTTAGTTTTACAGTTATATGGTGATGACATTGTGTGGTCCGGATTTGCTTACACTCAAAAATATGAAAAATTTGGAAACATTCAGTGAGAGTACTATACTTCGTATTGCTGTACTAAGCTTATATGCTATTAAACAGGTGTAAAATTACAAATTTACAAGTTAAAAATATTTTTTATTTTTGTCATATTCATATCTTCGAAAATTCAAATTTACAAATTAAAAATATTTGTATTCATTTCATCGGAAATTTCAACAAATCTTTTGATGTTGCTGGAAATTTCGTTACAGTAATACTTAAAAAAAAGTGTAACTTTAATTGTTGAAGTTGCATGAAATTGGTTTTGTACATCGTGATATAAAACCAAGTAATATGGCAATATCACCAACTGCTAGTGTTCGCCATATTATTTACTTACTGGATTATGGGATGGTTCGAAAATATGCAATTTACAGTAATAAGCAATGGTTTATCAGACAACCGAGAAAACGGGTTCATTTTTTAATTCAAAAAAAACGAAAAATTATGAATGAAATTTTGAATAAACATAATTTTTTAGGAAGAAAATCTTTTAATATTCATCCTTTTATAATTGATATGAAAAATAAGCTTTTAATGAGATTTTGAATTATTTTGCAGGTTTTACTTCGTGGAACACTACGATACTGTTCAGTGAATACTCATAAACGAAATGAGCAAGTCTGTAAAAATTAAACTAAAAATGAAAAAAAAAAGAAAAGCTTTCAAACAGTTTTAGAACATACCGATCTAATTTTCATTGAGTGTTATAAATTTTGGATGTTTACATTATTCTTAAAAATATATAAGCATAGAATGTTAATCTAAAATTATAAGAATGTAAACAAAAGATTTATTTTAGCTCATTAATGATTGTTATGTTTGCAATAGAATAATCTGATAATAAATAAATTAGAAAACAAATAAATAAACAATTCATATAAGAATGTAAATGAGTAAATTGTGTTTTTATTTTAGGGACGAGTTGATGACCTCTGGTCATTAATGTACATGCTGATTGAATTACGCAGCAATTATCTACCATGGGGCAAAGCAACACGTGAAGATCGTATTCTCTATCTTAAAGAATCTATTTCTGATAAGCAACTTTTATCAAATGGAAAGATGGAATTTTATGAACAAATTTTAACACATCTTCGTAAATTACGTTACCCGGATAGACCCGATTATCATTACGTGTACAAACTGGTAGTAATCTATGATAATACATTTCTGATGATAATAACTTTGACAAAAAGTGATATCATTTCGAAGTTAATTGTTAAATCGAATTCGTATTATCCATAACGTTTAATATATATATAAGAAATTATAATAATAAAAATTCTCTAGATGATATTACCTATGATAAGAAAACGATACTTGTTTAACGAACCGTATGATTGGGAAATTATACCAGAAAATGAAACACAAGAAGAATCGGAATTGTTAGAAAAATCTCATATATCATCAAAATCCACTAGTCCAATTAGTGTCAAATGTAACTTCTTTTTCAGTCTTTTAATTAATTTAAAATTCTCTACGTCACATATTTCAAGCTCAAAAGAAATTAATTGTATTCTAGTGCAAGAAATATCAAAAATCAGTATTTAATTATTAAAAAGTAAAAAAAATACATGAATGATGTAGAGATGAAGTAATTAACTATTATAACAAATATATGAATTTAAAAATTCATTACTAATTATTAAATGATCGAATGTATTATCGATAAATCAAATTAGCTTAAGAAACACTTGACTGAATGTGGCCAAAATTAGACTAGCTTTTTTAACAATTTGACTTTGAATTCTTTTAGACATGTCTAGGATTTGTGAATGCTATGTCTAACCTTTAGGATTAGAGCATTTGCAATCCTGGATACTTCTTTTTTAAAATTAAATCCGAAATTAGAAATTTTTCGAAATAATTTTTCTCTTGGATAAAACTTTCTGAAATCACTTATATTTATTATGCAAATATGACATATATTCCTCAGCAAATTTTTGATTCAATCATTCCTTTTCAAAAAGAAAAAAATTCCTATTTGTATAATTATATTATAGCTAGCAATCTAATCATTCCGGAAGATATACCAGTAGCACAGGAACAGGCATTTGATGAAGGCGAAAATGATGTACCAGATATAATGAAAACTTCTTATCATGTTTGCCAACGACGACAAGATCGCGATCGACGTGCGTTGCAAGATGAAAGCAATCCACCAAATGAAGATTTACCATAAATTCTTTTTCAGCTTAACTACCGAATTGTTGCAATCAGTTTAAGAAACAAACTATTTGGTAGAATAATATACTCTCATTATGTGCAATTCTATAAGAAAATGATGCTTTGGAATTGTGAATTCATACATAAACACCACTTGTTTGCAAAATAGAAAACAGTAACAAAATAATCATTTAATGATACTTAAGACTGTCTTTCCCATTGAACTTTTTTTAGTACATCAATCGATTTAATAATTTATGGCACATGTCTCATCAATTTACGCGACACTTCTAAAAATGCTCAGTATAGGTAGAACACTAATACACTGAAATTCAAACACTGAGAAGTGAAACTAATCTTTCAGTTCATTTCTGCTTAAAACTTCTTATTTTTAGGTGTATAGCATCTCTTTTCAGCAATTTCTTGCAGGCTCCTCACCCGTAGCCGACAGTACTTTTATACATTACTGCATTGTAAACCTCAACACTATGCTTTTATTAGACAACACATATCAGTTGTTGTCAAGATAGTAATTTCCGAAAATGAAGAACTCACATCTTCAATAAAAAGGATTATAACAAGCACGTTGCCAAGCTAAACAAATCGACAATTAAGACAAACACAATTCGCCAAAAAATGCGTTTTTATACATCATTGTATCTAGGTAACTTGAAAAAATACAGAAATGGGCTTTTCTATAATGAGGGACTTTCCAAATGTCTCAAAATGTTTGTGAAATTTTGGAAGACTGAAGTTTGGGGAAGTGTAGCAAAAAATATGAATAAATCAGGAAGTTTTTAGAAAGATTTTATCGCTTCACAAAATAACATTAATATTATGTAATTGTACATAGTTTTGACGAAGTAAAATCAATACTATATATGGATAGGTAGCCGAAATAAAAAACAGACACAAAACAAGGGACAGAACTTTAATAAATTATGTAAATAATTTCAAATCGAAAAAAGTTGCACGAAGAGTAAATGACATGAAGTCACGAGATTACATATTTTCTTCAGCAGCACGAGCCTCTTCCAGAATCTTGTCGAATGAAAAGGGAACAAAAGCATAACCAAGCCCTTTGTAAAATTTGCTTTGAAATTCCACCCTGGAAAATGGAATAATTTAAGAAGTATTACACAATCAGTGATTAGTAACTCTTTCAAATTAAGTTTTTGATGAACTGAATTATTGCATAAAATTAGTCATTAATAGCACCTACCATTATTAATATCTTAACAAACTGCAATTAAACCTTACTTCCGATAACTCATTAAAGTATTTAGTAACGCTGTGCAATATGCCTTTTGAAGAACATATTTGAAATAAAGTTTGAAAAACATACCAGTGAAGACGAAGAGCGTGTAGAAAAGCGCTGAGACCTTCCATCAGGACTAAGATTGAAAATGAAAGGGAAGCAAACACGAAAAAAAGAATATATGTCGCCATTGCTCCCATATAACCATTTAGCATGAAAGCTTGGCGGAAAACCATCGTCCATAAAACATCTGATAATTCTATAAGAATCGAAACATCATGAAGATATATTGCAATACTGTTTGCCAATAATTTGGAATAAAATTTTGAATAAACTCAAATTCATTTTCCCACTATTGTAAATAACATAACGCAATTTTTGTTGAGGGAATACCCTTAAAAAATTCATTGTCACTTCTTTCCTTTTTTCCATGAATCTTTTCAGCACTTATTACATGCCTTTCCCAAGACTATCCAACACTAAACTAAAAAAAGCGCATTCTTTTGAAAAGTTTACTAAAATTCAACATTTCAGCAAAATATAAACTTAATATATAAAAAAAGAAAAATAACCAACAGGTAATTCATAACTTACGAGCATGTGCGAGCGAAAGCGCCCAAAGCCGAAGATATGAAGCAGTATGTGATATGCAACCCAGAGCAAATTCAATAGTATGAATAGCCTGATAAACCATGACATCAGCAAAATCGAACTGAAGCACAATTTAAATTCGAATTTTGTAAAAGTATCGAATCTTCTAAGATTTTTCCGATAAACCTTGTCTGAGACTTAATAATTACTATAAAATATGAAACACACTTTTTCTTCAATATGCGTGCTTGATGGTCTCGATAAATCATTGTGGATTATATGAGCATCATCATCATTCGATTCAACATGGACACTCTAAAAAATAATAAATGAAGTGCATCTTGCAAAAATCTTATGAATATAAAAATAAACATGACAGGGTAAGCAATTTAAAAATATTAGCCGAAGAGTAGAAACAATTTCGAGAGTGGCATCAAAGCATATTCATGAGAGATTTAAAGTGAGGACAGTATACTCTGTATTATGAATGTAAAGAATAATTATGTTTCTATTCACAAAATGATAAAAATTAATTTCGTGAAATATGCTAGAAACGATTGATCTAAGTGCCGCTCGGCGTTACATAACTAAACTCGCTTCAATTCTCATTTCCCACTGGAAAACCAAAATTATGCAAATCTAAACTTTGTGGAACACACTATGAATTTTGAAACTTCAAATAATTCATTGAAAGAAAAAATGAGGGATCTAATTTTTTAAAAATGACTAACTGCTATGCTGAAGAGAAATGTTTAACTAACTATAATGCTCTTATACAAATGCGTACAATTTTGCATTATATGAGTGACACTTGAATCATGGCCTCCACTGAGGTCATTTTGACTACATCCTAAAAAACACACAGCTACAAGCACATGTTACTAATTTGCAATAACAATTACTAATCCAGACAAGCTGAAAGCAAGTTCTACTAAAATTGATTAAAAATTTCGGACCATAGAGTGTTCTCAGAGCTTTTTTTGGGTTTCAATTTTAGATCCAACAAATCAGGCGTTCAAATCCATTGATTTCTAACTTTCAGCCAACCCGAATAGTACCTGTGCCCAAACACGTTCAAATATAGAAATTTTCAAACCAAGTTAGAACCGCACAAGGCGACTCTTTCTTTGTGCTCCTTCCATTGCATGTACGGTTTACCAAATAACATAACCGGGATGCACGCTGCCGCAATGAGCACAAATAATGTTTCAAAAAATGACTAAAACTATTGAAATTGAAGTTATCGTAGAAAACAAATTAATCACGATCTACAAATGAAAATTCAAAAGTTCAGTCATCATACGAAAATTAAGCGAAAAGATACTGCAGCATACAATTATACAGAACTTTTCTTCCTCATATGACATATTCAGTTAGCTTCTACACTTAACACAAGTAAAATTAAAATTCAACATTTAAGATAATTCATTCAAGTAAAAAAAGAATTTGAACGCTCACCTGACCCGGATACCAGAGATTCAGATAACACTGTGGATACACATTTCCTTCAGAGTCGACAAATCCAGATGGGCGATTCTTCATCATAAACATGTTAATAAGTCCTATCAATAACGACGGGGCACAATTAGACGACGGATATTCATAACCCAAAACATAGCCACTCTGCAACATTCACATATAAAAGAACCCCGTAGTGACAGAGTTTTCATATTAACATCCTCAAATCTTTCCAGAAGTCTGGAAAGATTTGAGGATGTTAATATGAAAAGAAAAATTATATGTCCCTGCAACAACAGCCGAAACTTTTGATGAAAATAATCTAATGGTTTTTTTCAATGCACTGCTATTAACCAAAAACAATATCAAATTCAAAATTCATGATTTACTACAATAACGATTAGCATTTTCATCACCAGTAATCACTATGATAGATAAACGAACAAAATCGAATAGTTTTCAGGCAACATTTCAAAATAAGTATATTAATCCATATAAGTGAAGTTTGCTTGTCCGCTTTTATCTATTACTTTTTGAGTACTTATTATGTATAACATGTACTGCGTCAACAATTAAAAAACTGGAGTACTCACCTTGGCAGAAAAAAGCAACCACTTGAACAGAATTTCTATGCAAAGATAAATGAAAATACAACCAAGAAAGAGCATTTGTGGGATAAACATATATAGGATATCCAGACGAGAATCAAAGTATCTGCAAAGAATAGTAACAAATCAGATCACTTCCATCTTAGAAATCTTGCAAACAGAAGTGAATCCCTTACAGCCTATGATCCCACTTATATTCTTAACTTGTCCAGATTTACAGCTTCTGATCCAGCTTATATTCTTAACATGTCCAGACGTACAGCTTCTGATTCAACTTATATTCTTAACTTTTCCAGAATTAATGATGTAATGTGTGTTCGTATTAAAGAACAATTCAAAAAACTATTAGAGATAAAAGAGGCGAGAGATAAAATTAAGCTCAATTTTTCATTCCAAGAAAGAAATTGTTTGAATAACCAATTAATATTATTTTCCTTTTCAGAGCAAAGTTTCAATAAAAAATTATTTGAATCATAACCGACTTGTAATTTTCATAGCTCAACATGACACCAAATGTCATTTGTGCAACACCAATTATAACAGACATTTTCATCTTCATCGAGTTCAAAAAACTCAATTTGTTAGTCTCAGCAAGATTCCAAATTGGATCAACACCTATGGGATAAGGTCCAACTGACTGAAATAGAGAAATAAGTTGCAAAAAAACAATACAATCATGCAAAAAAATCAGAATATAAAGTTATGTGCAAAGCGAAGTCCAAGAAAAAGAAAGGAGAAATACATAAATTTCTAACCACATTATAGTAAGCCCATTGTGGTGTAAGCATAAGTTCTTTCTCAGGTTCATATTTACTTAAATCTGCGTAAATATTTCGCCATGAACTCCCGAATAAATTGAATGATTTGCTATATGCATCATTGTAGATGAATCCGGTGTATACAGAAAAGCAACCCATCAAAAATATCACGTAACGACCATTAAAAAATGTTTGGAAAATCTGCAAATCATTTGAAATGAACACTACTTGATAAATTTTACATGAAACTAAAATTTGAATCAACCCAAATTATATTTTAAAATGGTATGATTAACCTTCTAAAGATAGTGCAAAAATATTTGCTTACTAACAACCTCGCAATTGCGTCCGTGATCAGTTCCTTCGTTATTTCTCAGATTTACCTTATGTGATTCCTCATTTAAATCATAAACAGAATTATAACCTCATCGTTTATTCGAGCTGCTTCCAATTGTTTTTCTCGATGTATAAAAAAGAGGGCGCACAGAAGCATAATAAGCCCATGGCCACAGTCGCCAAACATAACGGCGAAAATGAATGGGAATGTGATCATTGTGTAAGGAGCTAGAAGTCATTTTTTCAATCTAATTTAATAAAATTTTTCTACTGGCAACAAAATTCGTTTTTGAAATGCTTTTACAGCACGAAAACTTATTTCCAAACAACAAATTTTCTTGAAATGAAAAAAAATTAACCATAAAAAAGTCAGTTTTTCAAATCTACAGTTCCAAATTTTCTGAGCCTACACATTTTCCATTTAAGGAAATTTCAGATGGCCAGTGCTCTTGATAAGCAATTTGAACATATTATACCCGGATTTATTTCTCGATATGATGCAATCCCATATGCATCAACAATGTTTTGGAAACCACGAGTGAATTTGTTAACACGATGGAAAGTTGGAGGTGCTTCTGTTATACCCGACATGCGATTTAGAATTGATGGTACTGTACTTCCTGATTCTTCCTAGAATTGAAACATCTAAAGTCTTTAAAACTTATAATTTCTCAGTATTGATCGCTACCGAAAATATATACTCTAGAAATTTCGGCTTGCCGGAAATTCAGATTAATATAACCGAAAAACGTTAAAATAAAATAAAGAAACTAAACCAACCGTTCCTCTTTTGAGTGCCAGCTGAATCCGATTCAAATCAGCTACCGGACACCAACACTCAGCAATCAGACATTTCTGGGTGACATCCAAGTTGAATAGATTCAACGTATGATAAATGGATTTAATTTTACGCACTTTTGTTAGCCACATTCGCACATTTTTCGATGCAGCAACCTAAAAAAAATTGTAGTAGGTAACATGCAACAATGAATCACCCACAATGTTTCGGAGTTCAAACTTCAAGAGATTAATGAATTAAGGTGTCATGGAATGGAACTAACCAAGACACGATGTCGATGGTCTTGCGTTTGTCCTAAAACAGTTTTCAGATCCTCAATACGGGTCATCACCCCTATTGACATTTCTCGCCGTTCTTGAGGAGTGTCTGGACACGGATAAAGAGTTGCTCGAAAGCTGGAATGTATAAAATTTTACTTGAAAGAACTACAGGGCTTCAGTTTTTAGCAATCTTCGCAAAAGCAAGCATACCCTTCGCAAATTTTCTTGACACGAGTTTTCAACTGTTCACCTTGGAAAAATATAATAAATACTGAATTGGAAATTGGATCTCCCTGAAAAATAATTATGTTTTTTCAGCATTTTATACTAAAGATTTATTGAAGGTTGACATAAATATTTCTTTTTCCCCACAGGATTTTGGAATAAGAAATTCATCATGAGCTGTGAGGTAATCCCTCCATAATCAAGGAATTCAATAAGAAATTTACTAAGACGACAAGCACCAATCAAAGTGGCACAATGCAGCAACAATGGACTTACAGTGGTAGCATCTATAAGTGGTTCCGCTATTTCAGATTGTCGTAAGAAGACATTTCCACGACAGGCGCGCCATAGTAGTCGTTCAAACGCTGGAAGTCGTTCTCGCTGAATGACACCGGCAACAAAACTACAATACAAAATTAATTTATGCCAAAAGTAAAGTGAATTAACAAAACAAAGAAGGATTCAAGTTCTAATCATCAATTTATGTATGTAACAAACAAAAAAGTCTCAAACTTTATTCTCTCTTTTTACTTCAAGATGAAAATATATTTCTGGAAACATTTCAAATATGATCTTATAAAATCCAGAAAACAGAACCAAATATATGTCATATGTGACTCTTACATATTTTCTGGATATGCAACAGATTTTAACATTGTGATGAACCACGATTGCACGGTCAAAATCTTGAGATTTAAGAAAAAAGTTATGTTGAAATTGGACAAAAACAACAGAAAAAATAAGATAACAAAAGATTTTGAAAAAAATTTTTATTGACGGTGTGGAAAATCTGACTAGGACTCGCCTCTTTTCAAACGAGCCAACTTACAATAAGAAAACATATAACAATTAAGAAAATATAAGCAAAGAACTTGACAAAATGCTATAGCATGTACCATAAAAAACTAGCTTAAAATAATTTCAGAATAACTTCAGATTTCCAAAATTTTTTTTTTTAAATTTCTCAGGATGTTAACAAAGAAGCGCATAACTCTAGCGTAAAGCTTCTAACCACACAAAAGTTTAGGAACAAAAAAATGCTAGTTTTAAACAAATAAATTAGGAAACCTCAATCCATAACAAACCCATCCAGATGTTTTTATCTTCAAAGATCTATAACAACCTTTCCGTTTTTAAGAAACTGAATATCCACAATCATTGAGGAAAGGGATATACATGATAAGAGAAAGACATCATGATCTTGCCGAGCATTTTACTAGCGACTTCCAAATATATATCTACTTCTACACAAGAAATGAGAAAGTTGCACAGTAAGAAAAAGCTACATCTAAACTTAGCTATACCCTTCGCAGCGTTAGAAAAATTTGTCAAAAGAAGAATACAATAACTCAAGCCAAATGTTATAATACATGAATAGCACACAAAAATTTTTGAATGCACACATGAAACAAAAAAGAAAACAAGAGACATACCCAAAATTAGCAAACATCTGGCCGGTGACTCCGGCACCAGATAATTCGATGCCTACTCCCTCAGTTTCCTGCAGAACGATCTGCTCCGGAAGGCCGCTACCAACTGGCGCATTTGGTGGCACGATTGTTTCTGTTCCAGCCTAACAGAATAACAACTATTTGTTGTATCACAAACGATCTGATTTATTAATTTGCAGAAATTAATAAGAAATTATCTGGTCTCAGAGAAAAGAGATAAGCTAATAAAAGTATCGGAGATTTTTTGGAGATTTAAGTCATTCTTTTCTCTGAAATACTGTGACCTTCGAACCCGAAAAGTACAATCCACAGCAGTTCAAAAAGTTTTCCTGATGCTTTAAGTTTTGTAACGGAACGAATAAAGAATGCAAAATAACGAAAGTAATCAGAGAGCTTGCTGAATTAAGGAAATTCATTTTTCATTTTTCATCAATGTAAATTGGCTAAGACAATCGCAAGTATTCCATTTCTTTACTCGAAAACAAATGTTTAGAAAAGCAAACTGATACAACTAAGTAACAACTGCAGATAAAATCCGAAAGAATTCATATACTTTTTAAGTGATTTGAAGGTGATTAATTATCTTTGTTACACTTTTTCTTAAGCAAGATATGAATCGTGCATTTGGTTCATAAGGACACGTAATGAGAGAATCCATTGAAACGCAGCTTTATAACCTAACTGCATTATATCCATATTTCCATATAAAGACACAACTCACTTGTAGCTATTCATGCATTTAACCAAGCACACAATATGATCAAGAATTGGAATGCAAACATTGGGAAAGACAAATCACAAAATTATAGGACTAAAAAGAAACCAACACCACTTAATTCATTTTTTACTCACATACAACATTGTACTTACCCCAAACGTAAAGTAATTGCTGTGCTTCGCGATTCGCTCAAAAGATTTTGCTCCTCTTCAGGAATAAAATGATGTTGATTCTCTTCTCGTCTTGTATACGGCCACCTACCATATTCCACCTGTATCGTTCACAATGCTCAGTTTTAGAAGGCATACAGAAATGCTATGCAATGAAAAAAGACAAAGTGCTATTCAGAACACATAAACAAGTGCCATCAAGATAATTTTTTTCAAGCTTTTGAATGTAAGCAAACGTAAAATGAATTTTGGTAATGTTACTGGATTGAATGCTTTTCCCGAAAGAGCACAGTTAACATTTCGTTCGAAAAAAATCGAGAGTTCGTATTCTTCATTGTCTATTTTCATTGCTTAAAATCGATAAAAAGGAGTTCCAATTAGTGCTAATTAATATCTCATAAAACTTTGTATTACCAATCATTAAGTCAAGAGAAGATTCAAAAGATTAAATGTAGTGTCACAAGAAAATCACTGTGAAAAATGCAGGTGAAGTCAAACTGTCACATCGTTTTAAAGCTAATGATCAGTTAGTAAAACTTTGGAATCTGATCAGCGAACTAAGAAAATGCACTCCAATATCATAAAGGCGGAATGTTATCAACTGTTGCGTGTACGTATGCATACTGGAAAATCGGAAAATGAGTGCCGATGTCACGGATTTAAGTGAAGTATAGCATAGAAGTTTGTTTCAACATGACTCCCAGGCGTAACTATTCCACGATAAAATATTCGAAATACTGAGTCCATATAGCATTAGTACTATTGGAAAGAGGAGAAATGACCTAACTGGGAAATTCAACTGCCGAGTTAAAAATGCTATTATTGGATAATATAAATTTCAGGAAAAGCATTTCAAAAAGGGAAAACAAATCCAAAACTACAACTATGTTAATAAAACTATTACAAAAGTGTTAGAAGTAATTCCAACAACGTCAAAAACTAATTTACAACAATCTCAGACAAAAATTGCACAAAACAACTACCGGAAAACAGATATATGAAAAGCCGTCCAATCCCCAGAACCCCAGATCGCTGAAGACCAAACTCATCGAGTTCGAAGGATTCAGTGGTTTTGCGATCACATTTAGTTAATTTACAAATTCTAAGGCTCCGTAGGTTTCAGCAAATTTATTTCCAGCTATTTATTCCCTTTTTATCAGTCTCTTATTTATAGAATACTACCTTTTCAAGCGTATCTACCGTATTATCAATGACAAGTTTACTTAGGTAAGAAGTCATTAAACAGCTCATTTCAGATCTCAATGTAGCATAACGAATGCAGAACATTATAAACAAAATAATTAACCTATAGCTGAATTAAATTTTTGCCTGATCCGCTTCAAATCTGTCCAGGAGAAACAAAGTTATTGCTTTTCTTCTTATTAATAAATATGGCCGAAGTGCCTTTACGGTATAAGTTAATCTTCCTATCTCAACATTTTTTCTTTATATTGACCCATCCACTTTTTTATTACATCCAAATTAATTGCATAAAATTCAGACTACGAATAAAATGATGACCAATCAATAATACCTCCTCGAAGAACTGTTGCGTTTTCCGAAGAATGTGCTTAAGTTCCGTTAATTCCGAAAAGTTTTTCTTCAGCATTTCTTCATTTTGATTAACTTCTTGCAATTCATTCTCTAACTTTTCGAATGTTGCCTACAACAGTCAGTAAAGAATTGGAAAATTATGATAGCATTAACACAGCAGTGTAATAGGACGAATTTATTTCTTTCGTTTGTTATGAATGTTATTTCTTATTCTACCACTCACCTCTAAATCAATCATCTCTTTTGGTTGTGGAGCATCTGGATTTTCACCTGTATCCAACATTGGTATTAAATCTTTTTTGATTTCACGCTCCAAAAATCCTAAAAGGAAATTCAGTACCGTCATTTTCTAACAACTATTATCATATTAAACCCTGTTTCACATTTTAATGAATCCTGATGATATCAGCTATATTTTGATGATATCAGACTATTACACACCACAAGAATGCTGTAAATAAAGAATGAAAACTGTATGATGAGAAGCACATATAGCCACCACCAGAGGCGCAGATTCAAAAATACTACATCCCCAATTCTTCTAATTTTTGTTTTGGAAAACATGAACATACTCAATTTTCGTTCCATTTCGTCACATCGTCGTACTTCATTCACAAATTTTCGTTGGAAAGCGCTTACATCTGGATTGAGCTGAAGTTTTGAGTATAATTAATGTTATTAATATTATAACAAAAACAATGCAATCAATTATTATTACTGTCAAACACCGCTGCACATTAATCATCGAAGAGAAAACCGCCTTAATCATACACATCGCAAATGGTGTTCACTGTAAAGAGAAATAAACATACATCGCGGAATTGAACAAGACCCAATTCACCCAACTCTGCAACGCAAGTATATGCAGCTTCCGTTTGCAGAAATATCTGCGCTAAGCACATTTCTTCGCTTCGGTAAAGCGAATCCATCTTCGAGCGATTTTAAAATGCTAAAAACTTTTCATAAAAAAAATTTTAACATTTTTAGATTAAATACATCATTTCATCTCATTCGTTATCATTTCATTGGATTTTCAAAATTATCAGGAAAAGAAAAAAAGAAAAAAGGAAAAATCTAAAATTTGTATTTGTCAATTTTGATAATTCTCATTCATTACTGCAAATATTTCATATTTTTGAGGAGGAAGAGGAATACAGTTACTCACGTTACTCACATCTACCAGCTTAACTAAATTTTAGACAGAAGCGCGAAAAGGCAATATAATTGGCTTTACGTATAATAACCATTTGAAAAATGGCATAAGTATTAAAATGATAAGTGATTATCACAGCAAAAGCAAGAAGGAGTGAGTAGCATTAACTCAACAAGTAACAATACCCGTAAAGATATCTCTCCCTCCCCTCCCTCCTACACGTCACGTCTGTTTCCCAGACCATACGTGTTACGTAACATGCCATCAGGGAAACCAACACCTCAATAACGAACCAGCAGCATCCCGATGAAAATTTCAGAAATCACTAGGCCAAATTTTATCTCTTCTCAAATATTATCTTCCTATTTTATGCTAATTTAAGCAACTTCTTTGACGCTAAAATGTTCTATTCGGATCATTTACTATTAAAAAATTTTAACATCTATTTTTAAATTAAATACAACATTTCATCTCATTTGTTATCATTTTTATTGGATTTTCAAAACTGCAGGAAAAGAAAAGAAGAAAAAAGGAAAAATCTGTGACATTTAAAGCTGCAAAAATTTATGGCTGATAAAAGTTTCGCAAAGATATGATCAAAGAAATTTTTAAATCTTATAATCGATAATAATTTCAGGATTAATTTAAAACGGTTGGAGAAACGAGTTCGGAAAGAGGGAAAGGATATACAATGATCAGATTAGTTTGTGAATTAAATATTCAAGAAACTAGGAAATATTTGAAATAACATGACAATAACAATTGGCAGTGTTATGGATTGAATCGATTTTATGGCAATTGAAAGCAAATGAAGCTATTAGTTAGTGAGGCACAAATCGATTGTGTGCCTTATTTTGAGGCTAAATAAGGCGATGTGTTTTGGCCTAGCCGATAAAGAAATGCCTCGCTTAGAATCCGTTGAGGCTGCCTATGCCATTTACAGACAGACTTTCGGACAAAACTCACTCCAATCGACCGGAGCTGATGTGAAGAGGAGTGAAATTTCATAGTCTAAAATGCACTTGTATACTTCGCCTATATAACATATCAAATCTTCATTCGTGGTTCATTTGTTCTCCTTCCTTTCGGGTTATGCATTTGGTTTATTTTTTGCGCCCGTTGTTTCATGTTTTAATATTGCGTTTTTATTATTGCTACGGTTTAATTACCCTAGTTTGAGGTGCTACGAAGCAACTTCTCCACAACCCAAATCAACGCAACTCCACACAATACAAATTCAAGAAAAATCAACACACCAATTCAACACAAGCGATCTCAACTCAACACAACTCAACGCAATTC